ATAGTTAGAAAAACATGCGTGAGGATTGTTCCTATTTCACAGATGATACCTTCCAGTTTCTTCATGATTCTGTCATAATCATAGTTCCCTTGGTCGGTATGACTGCATTACTAGCCATTATGGCAGCAACAGGCTGCTGCAAGAAACTCTGCTCTAACGATGGCACAAAATCAAGTCAGGTTGGTGATGAAATGAATTTTCCATTCATTTCTTAAGGTGAAGGTCAATCCACTTGCTCTCTGACAGCCTATTTCAAATTCGTGCTGTTCATTTAGTCAGGTATGTGAATGTAAATCCACGTTTTTGATTGTTTTTTAGGGATCTCGTGGAATTGAAGCAGGAGAAGATAGTCGAAAGTTCATCGAAGAAGGCGCTCCATTGACGAGTGAAGAAAGGAGTCCTTAGACAGAACCCTATACTAACTGCAACTTTATGTGCCTGTTAAAAGTTCGGAGATGTTTCTACTGCGCCATATATAAGCTGCTGCATGACGAAGGCGCATTATACTTGAGCGCGAACGCGGCTTTGTTCGCCCCAGAGCGCATGAAGCGCAGTATTTACAACGGTGAAGATACGCGAGCATCGTGTTCGCACCCGCTCACCTAATACTGCTTCGCGCCTTCGCCCTGCAGTAGCCTTTACTAAATTTATTTTAACCCGAGTCTGATCCGCTGCTTTATGCCTATTCATACAAATATAAATTTTTTAACCGTTTCAATAATCTCAAAAAATCAACAGATCAAAGGAAGGAAGTAAGTTAAGAATCATTCTGAAAGAATTTGTACAATGGTATCACCCTTGAGGCTGAGGAGATTGGAGCAACAGTATTATCAACGATTTCTGATCACAGGTTGTCCAAACAGCACAGTAGGTTCCTCAAAGTACTTCTCAACCTCAAAATTGGACTCTTATCCATAAATTGAATATATCTTTTCGCTGTGAATAGGGTTGATATGCTTTCAAGGTATATTTTAATCTCAAGCTTCGTTGATGACTACAGCCAGTGGGTGCATGGACCTATGGAAAAACAGCGTATGAGAAAGACCTGCGCATTTTGTTATTCTATTCGAAAACCTTCAGGATCAAAAAGGTTGAGCTGGCAACCGCTACAAATGATGACAGGAAGAGGGTTGAGATTTTGAGTATGATAAAGAGTTTATCGTACTGTTTAAAGTAGCCCATGAAAAGTGCTTACAAAAATCTTCATTATTTCTGATCAACAGATAGGTCCATTCGTCAGAATCGATGATTCGTAGGCTTTAAACCTGCTAAGGTGAAATGGCGCCTTTTGGAGTGTGTTATACAGAATATGGAACCAATGCTTTTTCGAATGAAAGGCACGTGGTAGAATGTATTCTTGATGGCGGTGAAGTAACGTAACAGGTTATCACAGCAGGTCATGTTATGGCATGACGTTTGCGTTACTTCAGTGGCAATAAAGATTGTCAGGAAGTGCCGACAATGTCGGCACATATTTCGAGTCTAATACAAGCATTAGCGTAGATAAAACCGTCTGCATAAGGCCCTTTGCAGGTAAAGCAGCGAGCTCACATGCTAGATTTTAAGGTAGGTATAGTCGTCCTCACCTCAGTAGTCGCTAGGTGGGGCGGATTCAATTTGAGTTTGGGCATGCCGGTTGCGGTAGAGCGCGGCACCTTTCGTATACGCATGTTTTCTTCCTGTTTTTGCTTTTTGCTTGTCTTTTTGTGAGCTATGTTTGCAAACAAAATGAATGTCGTTGTTGTCAGGTGTTGTTCCATGCCGCTGTGCTCTATCTTCAACTCTGATTTTAGGTAAGCTAAGCGCAAGGGTAGATGGAAAATTCACGACATTAGAATTCTTGAAGCAACCCTTCAACGCATGTTGGTTTCCACCATTTTTCATCGTTCCTCCAAACTTTGTACCTGAAATTAGAGTCAAGAAACGAACACAGCAGTATGGAACGTTCCTTTTAACAATAATCAGTCGTCAATTACAATCACGAAGAATAACACAAAAAGTAACACGCAATGACGAAATAACAGAAGTAAACATGCGCAGGCTTGAATAGCTGGCTGAAGAAGCCGCGCTCTATCGCAATGGCGTGCGCAAATTCAGAATATACCCACCTAGCGACTAGTGGGGTGAGCGCGATTATAGAATAAAACTTGCCTTTTAGTGAAGCGACGTGTAGACAGAGTACTGGATTCTAGGGAACTTCACAGCCCTCACGGTATTGTTACGTAAATATCGGAGAGCTAATTTCAAAGAAAAATTTCCACCTACATCATATATATGAT